GGTCCTGTAGTCCAGTGAGCCAACATAAAGAATGGTGGTCCGTGATAATCGAGAATCGGTGTCTATAAATATAAGGGCGAATCTTGTGCACGGCGAATATAACCACGAGACATTCCTGCTCTGTGACAATATAGTTTTGCTCCGGTTTACTTAAACAGCGACTGGCATAGACAACGACGTGTTCAGCAGCTCCATGGTGTTGAACCAAGACGGCGCCGATACCTACACCACTGGCGTCGGTATGAACATCTGTGGCAGCAGACGGTTCATGGTGGCGAAGTACGGGCCATGTCATAAGAACAAATTTGAGCTGTGAAAAAGACGACTTGCATTCCGCTGACCACCGAAAAGGTGCGTTCTTGTTGAGTAGGGACGTCAAAGGGTAAGCGACGTCGGCGAACTTGGGCACGAAGCGACGGAAGTACGAGCATAGGCCCAAAAAGCTTCGCAACTCTCGTACGAACTGAGGTTGTTTGAAGCTGCTGACTGCAGCGACTTTCTGGGGGTCGGGTTGAACGCCATGCTTGTCCACCAGGTGACCGAGACCGATGGTCTCACGGCTGCCGAGGTGACACTTCTTAGAGTTCAGGGTGAGCTTAGCTTTCTCAAGGCAGGTGAGAACAATGTCTAGACGATGGTTGTGCGCATCGAATGTACGGCCAAAAATTATAATGTTATCCAAGTAGCAAAGACAAACTTCCCAGTTTAGTCCACGTAATAGAGAGTTCATTAAGTGCTCAAACGTGGCTGTAGTGTTGCATAAGCCAAAAGAAATTACATTGAATTGAAAAAATACCAACTGGGTATGAAGGCCATTTTCGCTTTGTCATTCGGGTGCATGGGGATTCGCCGATAACGAGATCTGTAATCCACTGAGAAGTACGACGCCAAATGTAAACAATCAGTGTCGTCATCAATCTTGAGAATCGGGTAGACATCCCTTTTAGTAACAGAGTTGAGCCCTCTGTAGTCCACGCAGAATCGCAATGTACAATCCTTCTTTCGGACAAGAATCACCGTGGCAGGCCAAGGGCTACACGACTCTTAAATGACCCTTTTCTTTAACATCTCTTCTACCTGTTAAGCAACGAACTTGCACTCAGAAGATGAGACATGGTATGGTTTCTGCCGGAGAGGGTGAGCAGATTCTGTGTCAATCCAGTGGCGAGTACGCGACTCGGGTACACTTATTTGCTGTCATTCAGCGCAAAGTCAAATATAGTAGCGTGCTTCGCAAAGCTATATAGTAGCGTGCTTCGCGAATATTGTAGCGTGCTTCGCAAAGCTTGAAATCACAGGATGATGTTGGAAGGACGTCGAACTTCGCAACGGTGGTGACGTTGGCAAGTCTATCAAAATTGGGAGTGATGCGCATAGCGTTCAGTGCCTCAAACGTGCGGAAGTGTTGGATTACGTCCGCTACAGACGTCAAGGTATCCTTGCCGATGAGTAAACTGTAGACATCCTCAGCAACCCCTTTCAGGAGATGCCCAACCTTGTCACCTTCTTTCATGTGGGGGTCTACAGACTTGCACGATTTCAGAATCTCTCTATTATAAGTTGTGCATGTTTCACCGGGGACTTGAGCACACTGCATCAAAGCTTGCTCAGCGCGCTTCTTCTTCATCAATAATTCCTCGAAGCAGCTCGCTACTAATTTTTCATACTTTTCTCAGGTCGTTATTGTTTTTTCGTAGTTTTCAAACCACACTAACACCGTCCCTTGAAGAAACAATCCGACGTTGGACAACTGGGAGGCTGCATGCCAACAATTGTATTTACTCACACGGTTGAAGTATTTCAGCCATTCGTCGACATCCTATCTGACCCTCCCAGAGAAGCTTGGTGGTACCATGTGTCGGGGCCACGTAGCGCCAGACGATAAGTGCGTGGTGTCGCCGTCAGCAATCGGATCCATAGAGAGTGGTGGTAGACCGGCAAGTCGGCGGATTCGGCGTAGTTCTTGAGCTACCGCTTCCGTGATCGTTCGCTTGCGATCGCTCCGCTGAATCCCGCACCTCCACCATTTTTTTTACGGTGAGAGTCCCTTATTTACAAGAGGTGATGAATACGAGAGGCTACGGATCTGGCAGATAACCGCTCCTTCCAACCTCGTTCTCTTCTTCAACCACGTGTCCCCTCAGTATCGTAGCAATATTATTAATTCCCAAGTGCTCGTCATGGTGTTCACTGCGTGGAAAAATCTATAAGAAAAACAAATGACCTTGCCCAGTCGCCGCGGACGCCAATATGTTATTAAGGTTATTGTTTTACTGTTATTAAGAGCACTCTATGTTTAAACCTCCGAGAGTCTCCATGAAGGACAAAGCCATTTATAAAAACATAACCTACATAAAATATGTACAGAAAAGTAAGAACACGAAAAATGCTCCACAACAACGAAACACCTAATAAAAAGTTGACTGGACGTGGTAAAACCTTTCTAACTAAGAAAAAAACACCAATTCAGTCATTACAGGTAAACTACACAATCCGAATGAAGGTGAGCGGCGGATTGGTGAAAGCTGGCAGTTAAGTCTCACCAAATTAAAGTACTTGACTTTTGGAGTCAACAGTGGTCAGTTGTTTGCGACCAAGGAACCTTGGCTTGTGAATATAAGCGAACGTTAGCAGTGATGAGGAAACTCTGGCTGCGGTCGAAGCCTCAAGAAACCAGGGTGAACTTGGCAGGCAGCGTGGTGCATAGCTCGGGCCCGTAGCCTCATGGCTGTTGCTCGCCTGTCGGCACCAAAGTCCACAGACCTTCGGCAGGAGTTCAGGACCGGATGGCTACGGCCCCTGGAGCGGAAACACGACGACAGAAGGCTTCGGAGACTCGGGTACGACACGCGACGGCCCACCTTCAGCGCCCGGTCCGGTGATGACCATCCCGTGCCAACGTCCTCTTTGAACTCCCCTTCTCTTCTTTGGCTCAGAATCTACTGTCCCCGAAATCCACTCGTCCACTTCCAATTCAAAAGGGCAGGGTCGTCACGTTAACCACTGATTCGCCCTTGAAATCTCCGTGTTTCTTTATCATTCAATATCTTTTTTTGTTTTACTCACGCTTCGCAGCGCATCCTCCTGCTCTCACTCTTTATATCTTCACTATCGTTGTTTTCTCCCCAGCTAACGTTCGCGCGGGCTTTTTATTATTTTCCTGTTGCTCACTTTTCCTAAGCGCGCACTTGAAACGCGCACTCCACTCATGACAGTGAGGTCACCGTTGCTCATGAGGGGCTTCATCGCCAACTAGAATTGTACGTTAAAGTAAATGGGCATGCAACGTAACATTGTCTCCCTCCTGTTTAGAAAAACTGAATCAACTATTGCCACAATACGAGAGGTTTCGAACAGGCGCGCAGGACGTCGAGATCGGAGGCTGGTGCGTTTGGTGTAAGCCTATGTGATCCGTCACGTCACCTGCCGTCTCCCCTCCCACAGGGCTTCCCAGTAAGAACCTTTGCGGGTGAGCGTAATGGCACGAAAAGTCATCAAGTTCACCAATACTTCAAACCTATACCCCCATGACACTTCAATTAGCCCCAAAGATGTATTACACCTTCGCTGAGCTATTGAAAGCTCAAACGAAAAGCCAAAGGAGCCTTCTGCTGACACCGACTGGGTGGCCCCTGCTCTCGAGGCTGCGTACCCAGTCTTTCACAATGACGTCGATGACAGTGTCAGAGATGTCATGAGTCATAACTTTTGCCCATAGAACGTGTTAGTCACACTTGTCACACGGAAACATGAGTCAGGAGCATGTCGTGGGATGCTGGCGCACTATCGTTCCGCATGTGGCCCGCATGCCTCGTGACATTTTTAACAGAAGCAAGTTATGCTCTGATGCTGTACGATGGGGCAGCGGGTATTCAGTGCCAGTGTTGGATGACATCGAGACGTTTATTACGGCTGAATTTTAGCTATTTTTCGCATCTACAGTTGGTCAAGTCATTGGTGTTGCATCTATCTTACGCCACACTTTCTCGAATCCTGGAGAGATGTCTATATTAACCCATTCGCTGCTAGGTGGCTGAGCCTTTTTGATGTGATTTGGCTTCTCCGAGGCGGCTGACCACATCACACCCAAGTCACCAAACATGAAAACATGGACACATCCAGCTTACAACACATCCACTTGCTCTCGACTCCTGACCATAGCTCATCGCCGGATCAGGATCGCGCTGACACACTCGTTGGAGAAATTACCCAGTGAGCTTCGTGGCACTGCATGGCTGAGAATCAGACTTTCTTTGAAATACAGAGGCATATCAACACACTTAACCAGAGTGACACACACGCGTATAACTGCTACCACCGTCATTCTTAATAGGGGGAGAGATGGCGCAACGCCAACTTTAAATGCATACTTTCACCAGTCTCACCTCCATGCATAAATTATACCCGGGCTGTGAGATCTCGCCAACGCCGTTTCGTAACTCGCTGGAAAGTGCAGCAAAATTTTCTCTTCTCTCTCACGCATTCAGTGTCCTTTCGCACCAAAATACGCTGAAACAATAACTTTGGCGACAGGCTATTGAGGCTTGTCATGCCTTGGTTCAGCGAGAGCATGAGAGGAGGAAAGGACGAACAGGGAAGTTCAGCGGGTGAGGGTGAAACATCATAAAGACCCTGGACTAGTCATACCAAGCTTTCTTATGCTGTACCAAACTCTTTACCCCAGCACTTGGTACACTTTGTGCGTGTGTGCGTGTTTTGGTGTAGATGGGTGAGTGTGTGTGCGCATGCGCGAAAGAGAGAGAGACAGTGCGATAGGTTAACAAATGCAGCAGGTGCAAAGCTCGATATGATGTATGTAGATCACTAACCTTAGTAACTGTGCATATTATTATGCTATCTCTTAGTCAATATTATATTAGTTTGATGTTTGTTCGGGGTCTTTAGCATTATTTAAAACTGCATTTCTTGCAGCAGTAGCTTCATAGCTCCACTGGGCAGAATACGCGTGATTGACCACACATTTATCAATCATTACGCAGACAACACCCTTCCTGGCCATATGGGAACAAGATCGCATCTGACAGCTTTCACTACGAGTGCGCCGTGCTCAACACTTCTATCGGCCTTATTGAAACGAGACCATGTGAAGACAAACACCAGTTCGTCTGCATTCGGGACAACGAGCTACGGCCAGTAGATGTGTCAGGTGCGTTTATTTCACGTCTTTAATTAAGAGAAATGATACTCCTACCAGGTGCCAGTTAAGATACTTTTGATGCATGTAATCCTGTTGGTTCAAATGGCCACGACGACACGTTGAAGGACTGGGCAGGCCCGGGTGCTCACTTCCTGGCAAACTTCAGTTTGTTTACACACTGACACATAATCACAAACGAAGGCCGGGGCGGCCACCAAAACAATCACGCAGTAAGCACTGGGCTGTATTAACGTCGGCGTTACTTGCCGAGCCCTTCTTATCCCCACGCCTCGACATCTACTTCTCGATGTAGTATCAACCTTGGATCAGAGTCCACGCCAAGCACGACCTCTGTTCCCACTTCGCAATCTTGTTCTCGAGCACCAAGCTCCCCTGCTCTCCATTTCTCTCCAAAAAATACCTCCCGTATCATTTGAGACCACCTCGAGAGACAAACACCTTCTTGATCTCCCCCAATGTAGCAAACAACTCTCCTTTTCTCAGAAACGTGTCTGCGCCTCTGCGTTCCTACACTTTTTAGGGGCGAAGCTCCTTAGGGCGTGGGCTGTGCGTCCCCTGTATGTAGCCACCTCTAGTTTAGTTCTTGCAGTGTTCACTAGATGGCGGTACCATCCCCTGTATGTAGCCACCTCTAGTTTAGTTCTTGCCGTGTTCACTAGATGGCGGTACCGTCTCCTGTATGTAGCCACCTCTCGTTTAGTTCTTGTAGTGTTTACTAGATGGTGGTACTTGTAGCTGATGATGAAAAGATGCAAGATGTTATAAACTAGAAAGCGGTACTTGTAGTTGATGAAAGACGAGAGATCTTATAAAATAGGAATGATGTCACATATGGCGCGTATCATTGGTTGAAGGCAATCGTTCGATTTAGTGCGGCGACGTACGCTAGGGGGAGCGATGTAATAAAATCGAGTGGGCAAAATGTACAGAGGATTCGTGGTTTACCAGGTTTACCTCCGAAGCTTCGCCCACTCATCATCATTCACTTCGTGGATATGGCTGCATTTTTTATCATCATCCTCAACGTAATTGGCTAAACAAGACCTCTGTCTAAAAACTAGAAAATACTTTCGCGTGACAACGAGCCTGGCTAGACAGCCGGTCAGCTGTCTGGAGTTAGTACACACGATGCTGCAATCTATCCACCGCTATTGTGACAGCACGCCGGCACATTACCCCTGTCGGGCGCGGTTTCAAGACCGAAACCACTTGTTTCTCATTCTGACTCACCATGAGAACGCTTCCGCCATGCGGGTGACTCAACAGCACAGGTGCGGTCAACAAAGGCTCACGCGATTCGGCAACAGAACTTCGTGCTGAGGCGAAAAGCTTAGTACGTCTGCGCAGCCGATTTTCATTGTCCTCCTATTTCTTCAAGCTCCGTTTACCAACTGACCATCCTTCGCCTGCCGCAAACACAACTGCGTCACTCCAGCGTCGCCAACGTGAAATCGGCGATGGAAAAGACAGCAGCTTGGTCCATTCTGTATACAAGTAGACGCAGGTAAAAGATCGCAGACGCGTTTGGACAATAAAACAACACTTTTATTCTAGCAATTTCACCATAATCACTATAAATACGACACTTGAAGTAAATGAACAATTTACAACTAGAATCTTAAAATAAGCTTGTCGAATTCAAGTATTGCGAAATACTCCTACGGCATCTTTAATAATCGTATTGTGGTTTCAGGACGTTAAGCCCCACATATCAATGAATAAATCGCGTACAGTGTAAATCGATGATATGCTAAGCACGAACGATGAAGGTTGATATGACACTTCAAAATTAGCACAGCACTACGAGGCGGACGTTAACTATTTTATACCTGACTTTGATGTCATGATTATCATTTTGGAGCAGTCATATACCTTAATCCTCCGTTCACATCACGTTATACCAAAATTACTGTAGGGAAAGCTAGCGAAACGACCGTGAGTGCATCGTGAATGTGGCGTGTCATGTTCTTACATGACACGCATATCATGATTATTATGTCTATACGCGTCGTTTACTTTGATCATCAATTCACGTCACGTAATACCAAATTGGATATATGTGAAGCTACTGAAATGACCGCGGGTGCATCATGAGCGTGGTATGTAGTCATGTTCCTAAATGAGACCCATGTCATGGTTACCATGTTTGCAGCACTCAACTACCTACGTCATCTGCTCACGTCAAGTAACACCAATTTTGGTTGTGTGAAGCTAGCGAAACGGCCGCGAACGCATCATAAGCGTAGTATTTATACTCTGTTCCAGAAGTTCCGTGCAGCAGAGCCAAGACTACTCGACCCTCGAACACAGGTTGTTGCGAAGCGAGATGTAGTGCCCCGTATACGTAGCCCGTTGTATGTCCTCGTGACTTTTGCAAGTGGTGTCGTCGGAAAATTTTTACTTGAAGGCTTCTCTGCATTTTATTTGTATTATTTTGTCGCATTTTCTGTAGAAAACAATTTTTGTGGCTCCATGATACTGAAGAAAGAGTTCTTGCTTGTACGTGTTATAAGACCGAAATGACGAAAGAAACAACGGTGTTGCGGCTCGTGTTTGTTATGTTTTTACATATAAAGTACAAACGAATGGTACCAAACTGTCTAAACTTTTATGAATAGTCCGCACAGCCCGAGCGTCCACAGCGCCGCGGACAACCCAGTCTTGGGTTGTGATTAGTCCGCGGTGGCAGATTCGGTCACTCCTGTCGGAATGGCAGCGCCTGGCTCACCTGCGCCATATCGTTTCCGGATCAGCTTTTACGGCAAGGGAGTGACGCAGTTGGCTCTAAATGTCTTCGGGACACTGCGTAAGGAGGGCGGCAGAAATGCAAGCATGAGCTCTCTCATTAAGAAAACGGCTGCGTTCACCAACGTCAGCGAGCGTGCGCTGTACAAGTCGGTAGCGAAGCACGATGAGCACTGCAAAGCACGATAAGCACGGCGAGGCACCGGGAATAGAGCCATCAATTCGTATCGAACGCGAGCGGTACTTCGCATGCCCATAGGCATGCGTATATGAAATCTGGTGAAGCGTTGTGCTTTCATACTCAATATGTGACCGGTAATATAGGCAATAGCAGGAAACTGTGGAATACAATGGCTTGCAGTTAGACGCACCATGTGGGTTAGCAGCGGCACGCGTGCATTTTTGTACCGCTCAGTTGGAAAAAGTATGTTTCTTTGCAATGTCAGTGCTGTTGAAGTGTTTTTTTTTCTGGTAATCGTGACTGCGACGATGACAAGCTACGAAATTTATGAACGATAAAAAAACTTGTTTTACCGCACTAAAATGATCTACAATGCACTTTTGTAGCTCGGGGTATACCTCCAGTTTCGCTAGTAGATCACTCGATACAGAAAACAGTTTTCATTGTATGATACGTACACTGCAGATAAAAATCCCCATTTTAAAGTTATCAGGGGGTGGGGATCACTGTAGCCGTGTGCTATGAGTTCATTTCGGGATCGCTGCTTCGGCCGACATCGTCAGTCTTTCGGCATGAAGCGCAGCACTTATTGAGCGCGTTGAGATATCCTTTTTTTCTAGCTTTCAGCGCGCTATAAGATGCATTTCTTAGTCGATTGATCTATTGATTGATTGATACGTGGGGTTTAACATAGCAAAACCATCATATGATTATGAGAGACGCCGCATCGGAGGGCTCCGGAAATTTCGACCACCTATTTCTTACTCGAGGCCAGATGCTTATCGGAACACTAATCTTGATCAAGCTGCGAGGCACGGCGATACATAAACAGTACAGTCAGACATAGACGGCGCATAATAATCAAAACCCTGCGCTTGTTTAACGAAGTTCTTACTTTATATGCCGTCCTGGCGCACAGTTTAACCAAGATAAACCCAAATGAACTCGTCCAGCACTTCGTGTAAACTTATTCTTGAGTGAAACTTTCACGTTTTTTGTCATATATTATATGGGTGGAATAGACAGCGCTCATTACGTATGACAGGCAGATTTCGGCCGCGCGTTTCCATATTATTTTTGCTAGGCGCGCCTGCGCGACAGTTTATTTCTCCATTTAATATCGTAGCAAATATATGTGTAAGCTTTTCATTAGTGCGTAATACATACGTACCTGTGATAAAATGGTCTTCACACACTCTGACTTAAACGTTCGGTACCCAAAGTGTACTTGTCGCTGTGGCTCTCTTCACAGCCGCGACCCACGTAATTTTGCTTTCTTCGTTTTATGGGAATCGATGCATGCATTTGCCTTTCACACTCGAGTTGAAGCAGCCAACGACTGAACAACCGACTATGGTTTATCAGGACGAAGATAAACGTGCGACCGTGCGCGCGAATCTTGAATAATCTGAGGCTGGAGGCAAAGTGGTTCGCCGTCGTCTGCTCTTCTTGAACCGGAAGCCGGCAGCAGACGACGCATCCCACAATCCCTCGCTCTTTTACTGGTCACCTATTTGACTAGTGTGGCACTTTCCACCAAAACATGAGCCACTGAATCCTACTCCTCAAGTGTGTACGTGCAAGAGAATATTTAACCGATTTCACAACCACAGATCATCTCACTGCGCAGTTGCACAGTGTCCTGAGCCGCTCTTGCCGCTTTTGCTGCAGCGCACGTCGCTAGCAAACGACAGTGCGCGGAAGGATACACTTAGATGTGCTCACCCTTCTGATTGGTTGAGAAGGCTTGTAGCTACCACAGTGCTGCATGGAACTTCTAGAACAGAGTATAGCCATTATCTTTAATGACACGAATATCATGCTTATCATGTTTGCACCAGCCTTATACCTTCGTCATCCATTCACGCCCTGTAATACCAAATGTGGTGTGTTCGAAGCTAGCGAAACAACCCCGAGCACATCATGAGCATGGCATGTAGTGATGTTCTTACATGAAACGAACGGGATGCATGCCACGTGAGGGCCAGTCACCTATGTTCGCCGTGTAGTCATGTCATACCATGCTAGTTTTGCGATATGTCATGTGAACGAATCCGCCGCAGGAGCAGCAAAACCATGACATGTAAATAATAACATTCAGGACATACATATCATGATTTCCATGTTACGACGAGTCAGTTATGCTCGTCATACAGTCATGTTATGTCATACCGAATTTTGCATAATTCCTCGTATCTAAATGACCAGGAGAGGTAAAAGTCGTAGGAGGATAGATAGATAGATAGATAGATAGATAGATAGATAGATAGATAGATAGATAGATAGATAGATAGATAGATAGATAGATAGATAGATAGATAGATAGATAGATAGATAGATAGATAGATAGATACGATCATACTAGCCGAACTTCACTGAGAAACGCTTCGCATTTAAAAACTGACATTGGTGGTATACACAGGCGAAGGCATACGTGGGATCACCGTTAGCGCTTCATCAACGAAGATCAGATGCCAGAAGCTGCAAAGAGATTTGGCACAACTGCGATATCGGTGGATCTGTGTTGCACCGCTAATACATCGGGAGCTAGCACTTGAAAGTGATATCAGGAAGGTTGAACTAACGTGAGGTGAAAGTGCTGATTCCTACGTTGCTTACGTGTCTCAACTTGACGAACGACATAATTAGGATAGCCATCGCACAAAGGTACTATTTAAAACCTCTAAAAGGGATACTTGTTGATCTACTGCTGCGCCATATAGTACAAGACTGCTTAGCAGGGAGAAGTCCTGCTGTCCCCTCATTCTCTTCCCGGAAAAAACGGACCCTTTTAGTGCACCATGCATTGTCACAAAGTCTCCTGCCAAAGTGTGGATGATGCCCTTTTAATATATAAGGGAGGGTTCTCCAATAATCAATACAGACAATCCATTTAACGTGACTGCGTAGGTGGCTCGTTCACGTGCAGCTTCTTCCGTAGGAACAATATCTTCCCTTGGTTCTCAAGCGAGCAATTTGCAGTGAAACTGTGATCACGGCCTTTTAACGAAAGCTGCCGTAGGCGCGGTACAGAACAACGAACTCTCTTCGGCAACAACGTTCGCAGCCTTACCATTGCTCCTCGTAATTCTAATAGCGAATTCAACTGGGAGAACAGGAGCACTCAAAAGCACCGCTGAAAGTACTCTGTTCAGAGCCGGCGTGTTTCAGTGGTCGAACAACAGCAAGAGCCCCGTCATCCATGGGTAGAGTGAGAGCGTTTTTGCGGCAACGAGAGCAATCAGGAGCAGATTGTGCTGCTCTCACCTGAAAAGTGGAGGAGGCTCAGTCCTTGAGAGTTACGTGACCTTCAAACGTCACAGTACAGTGCCTAGAATATACTTACTAGTGTGTCGACCGCCGAGCGTTTCCAATGGGAGACGCTGGCACTGCCGATGATGCCTTCTTCCGGAGGCCATCAAACGGCGACACCTTTAGGGACCATGCTATCCGAGCTGCAGGGCGCACCGTGCGAGAGCCCGCGTCACACGTGCGTTGCATGCGCGTCACTTGCGCTTTGGATGCACTTCGGATGCGCATTCGTAAACCCAGTCGGTTGCGGTGTATTTGAGGGGCATTTCTGCTGTTGCGCACATAGCGCATGCCTCCGCCCGTCTTTGCCATGTTTCTTTTCTGTGCGCGTTGTTCTCGCTTGTGTCTCTTCGCGAAACCGGGATGTTGATGATTGATATGTGGGGTTTAAAGTTCCAAAACCGCCATATGATTATGAGAGACGCCGTATTGGAGGGACCGGAAATTTCGACCACCTGGGGTTCTTTAACGTGCACCCTAATCTGAGCACACGGGCCTGCAACATTTCCGCCTCCATCGGAAATGCAGCCGCCGCAGCCGGGATTCGAACCCGCGACCTGCGGGTCAGCAGACGAGGACCTCAGCCACTAGACCACCGCGGCGGGGCAAACTGGGATGTCGTCGTAAAAAAAGAAGGCGTAAGAAGAGTGCCTGATATCTATATATATATATATATATATATATATATATATATATATATATATATATATATATATATATATATATATATACTTTTTCATAATGTGTGAGTGTATACTGCAATAACGACGAGCGGATGTTATTACTCAGCACCCCTGCAGACGCGGAGTCGAGTGAGGAAAAATAAAAAAAGCAAAAATATTGAAAACTAACTGCAGTGGCTGCGGTTATTGAGAAACATTTTAGTGTATGCTACGTTTAGCGCTTCTTGCGTTCCTTCAAAATTACAGCTGATGGTGTCATCAACAGGATTCTTCATGAAAAAGTCAAACCAAAACTTTTTATTCTTCATTTTATTTGCAACTTTCTCAATTTCTTTTCACGGCCAAGGTGATTTCTCGTTTAAAACGGCGTCGCCGATACTGGCATGTATTCGAAATGAGCTCTTTAATGCTGTTAAGTGAATAACATTTTTTTCGCACCAGTTGACAATGTCCGCATCTGTACCGGGTGTTGTAATCAATGTGTCCAAAATCCACAAAATTGAAGAAAATTCAATATTGAAGAAAATTTATAACTAAGCTGCAGCGGTAGCAGTCGCAGCAGCTTACTTATGAAAATAAACTATTTGCGTTTAAAGAGTTCAGCTAGCGTCAATGTCATGAGAGTATTGAACCTCGCGCGAAACACTCACCCTACCTTTCAGCAATAGAAAAATTGGCTTGTAATAAATGTTGTGGCGTAAAAAAATCAACCAATGCCGCAGGTTTCACTGTTGAATTTTATTGATCTTCATTACAGTATTCCTTTTTCCTCAGAAATCACGCGTATTCATTTATTTATTGGTAATTTTTTGTCAAACACTCGATATCGTGTACCGTAATAATGATAACGGGGCGTACGTACGCTTTTAAGTGCAACAAAAATATTGCTTTGATTACGCATCACCTCCCCACCAGCGTTCTACAGTTTTAAAAGGGCTGGGAGAGCCCATCGGCGCCTGTCGCACGCACGCGTTGGCTGGAGTGTCGGTAGCGACACGGCCGCCGCTGGAGCGGCCGTGGTAGAGACGCCGCTGACACCATTCCACTCGGGCTCCGCCTCGGGACGCTCGGCCACTGGCTTGGCATAGCATAGTCCCTGGGGCTATCGCCGCCTGGTGGCCGCCGGTGGAAGGCATCATTCTCCGTGCTACCGCGAAGGCCGTGGCAGGCACACTAGTAAGTATATTCTAGGCACTAAAGTCACAGTCTCCGAATTTTTATTCAACCGGTGAGTTTGGTGGCAATGATAGCAACCGTGTGTAGTTTGACACTGCTGTTTTGTACGGGAGGTGACGATGACAATAGTACGTCTGTTGAATGCGTCGTTGGACAAAGCAACGCCTTCCTTATTTCTTTTAATGCCAGTGCAAACACACGGTTTTCAACGGGAGCCGCCAGTCCACCTTACTTCAGGAAGTACTCGTGATGCGACGCTCCATGATATGTAGCGTTGCTTGCGTCTCGCCTGCTTCCGAGTTCTCCCGGAAATGCTATAGACGCGCTTCCCACTTCAATATCCCTTGTTTGTCAGATTTGTTCCTTCGTGCTCATTCTTTGCCGATTGAAGCAATGCCCCCGACGCCTTACAGTTCATTGCATGCAGTAGCGTTGCAGGAGCGTCCTCATTGGTTTTCCGCACAGCTCCACTAACGGTGACACGCTATAACAAAACACCGTATTACTTACTGAGCCAGCGGGACCACCACCACTGCGTTTACGAGAAATGCAAGACGCCGCCCAACTAATCTGTACACATCTGAACAAAACTCACTTCATATGAGTTCGATCGTAAGACACTACATGAGGTGTTCTTTCTACCATGACCCCCTCCTACCCCCCAAGAAAAGGTTAGGCGATGGGCGAGAGCAGGAAAGGGCTAGTGAAGGGAGTGGTGGACAGCTGAAATGGGTGCAGCTGGCTGGCAGTAATAAAATAGAAGAGGCGTTCGACAAGTTTTACATAGTGAAGAACATGTGACTGACTCATTTCAAGCGTATTTGCTGCTGCCCCACAGAGAATGCTGGTGCTTGAAATGTTTCGATTGAGTGGCTCCCGCTCTTGTCGTCACCATTTCACTTGTTCTCCGGGAGCGTGCCGCATTCAAGTTTCAGGTATAGTTGCCCTCCTGTCAGTGAAATACCTCACACTCCTCATTGCACTACTTCTCTACTTACGTTCTCTCAATGTAATTCCGCATAAAACAAGTGTTTTCATTCCCAAACGGGCACGCATGTCAGCGGGGTTGGGGGAGCAATGCACGCGTTAATCAGTGGTACAATGGGTCGAAAAAGTGGCATTCCGTAACCAATACTGAATGCATGTTGAACAGGCAGCATGTTTTGGAACTCTACATACAAGCATGCCCAACTAAAATTGCGATGCTCATTACGGGAGAAAAAAACTGCAGGCAATCCCCAGAGATGAACGACATGTTCTCCCCCCGTTATGCTCCACTTTTACAGAAAGAGAGCTGAGCGTGGAGCTGACTTCTAGCCAGCCACCAATTCTACTGAGCAGAAGCCTAGCCGACTTCCGGCTCACCTGCCGGGCCAAGTTGCGTAACGGTACAATGCTGAAAGAGCCAGGCAACCACGGATATGCTCACGTGTGGACCAAGAATGGCATCTTCCTCGACACCACCAACTCATTTCTACAGCCCGAGACAGTTAGTGAGCTTAATGCGTACACGCACATAGACCCGTCCAAGCAAGGTAGATACCAATGCGGTCTGAAGGCGCTACCATCAGGCCACACTGTCTGGTCGCATGTGATCACCCTGGTTTTCGAAGGTGGGTTGAAAGTGCGCACGCCCTTTGCCTGCTTTTAAGCTGTTTTTTCATGTTCGCATGAACTATATTATCAGTGTATACGCAGTGTTGCATCAGGATTTTAGAGAGAAGGAGCGATTGATGAAGGAGATTGAGACATTCCTGAGCGTTACTAACGTGTGAGCTTTTCTTTTCTTTTTACATCTCATAGTACATTCACGTAATTTTTGCATATATTTGCCTTAAAGGACATGAGCTTTTTACGATACACTTTATTTTAACATCCCTCGGTTAATTCACACGCATATATATATATATATATATATATATATATATATATATATATATATATATATATATATATATATATATATATATATATATGATGAAAGGGTGACGTGGCTTTGCTCATACGCCATGTTTATTCCATTCTGCACTTCTTCCTCTGCCTCTACAAACCATCGCTTCATACGTCACATGATTCCCTGTTCTGATTCATGAATATGGGTGGTATACCCTTGGCTTGGCTGCGTATATTTGGAGTCCCTCAGCTGTATACCAACCGTAGTGAGTGTGTGAGGCGTGAGGTGGGCGTTGTGAGTGACCGAAGATCCACGCGATGGAAAAGCAGGAGGTTGGTCAATGCATGAAGGCTGCTTTTTACTGTGACGACCGAGTGCGGTTGTTTGCGGATGGTGGGTTACAAGCAAGTCTTCGTCGTATTCGTCATTGTCTTCTTTCGATCAAACGATCATTTCTTGTTTTATCTTTTCCCATGACTCGCCGTTTTGAAATATGTGGGTGAGGTAGAATTTGCAGGCCTCACCGGAGACGTAGTCGGTAAAGTTGCCGACCAACTCCCGTTTCGGCCATGATGCAGCGGTTGCGTGGAGCTCGAACAGGTCGAACCAGTCCTGTACAGGTCCATCGTCTGCTGCTCCGGTGTACTTGGGGATGGTAAGGTCAGTCCATGATTCTGGCATGGTGCTGGTCGCTGTGTGCGTCCAGGAGGCGATTCCGTAGTAGATGCATGGTCAGGGCGTCTTGTGGAGAACTGCGTCAATGATGAGACCTTGATGAAGTGGCTGGGAGGTCTTCATCCCGTCGACTCGTGTGACGCTATGATGAAAGGGCGAAGTGGCCTTGTGTGACGTATGAAGGGATGGTTGGTAGAGGCAGAGGAAGAAGTGCAGAATGAAATAAACATGGCGTATGAGCCAGGCCACGTCGCGCTTTCATCATATATATATATTTATATATATATATATATATATATATATATATATATATATATATATATATATATATATATATATATATATATATATATATATATGTGTGTGTGTGTGTGTGTGTGTGTGTGTGCGATTATTGCCTATTGCCTCTGTTGTCTGGACTGTTACGTCTACTGCTCTACACGTTATCGAAAAAAAATATATGCGTTACTCGTTGCTCTGAAAAAATGAACGCCTTACCACCTGACGTTTCCTCTCAAAAAGGTAAGGCGTTACCATTGCCGTTACCAAAAAAAGTTATAGCCGTTACCACTGCCGTTCTTTAGCAATGACATATTTTAAACAATGTGATTTGGTTGCAGGAACCAAAAATAATTCTCGAATCTCAAATTTATGTTTCACCTAAAACCTCTGGCCTAAACTTCGGTAGCCACGTTTGAAAAAAAAATGTGGCAATGCTATCTCTACGTATGTACAAGAAGCAGCGGACGGCCGCCACTACGCAAAAGAATTCGCGTGCGGTTTGGCGCGCGTAGCGTGCGTGATCCTCGGCGCGGCGTTCTCAAATGACAAATGTGGTGTCCTCATGGCCCTGATGCCCCTGTAAGAAGTGAACTATTTAACCTTACTATAAAATGTTCTCAAATAGCGTTTGTTGTGAAATTATTGGTTATCCTGCAGCGGTTTGGCGAGTGTGATCTGGCACAATGCCAGTAAATACGCAGTTTGGCGGTTTTTACAAGTCCTGACAAAACGTAAGTACCGTATTGTTGTGTTGCACTACGTCGTCTTAGGCTTTGGTATGTGAATAAGCGTGCTTTCTCACTTGTTTTTATCACTTGATATGTGGCATATTCGTTTTCAAAGGATCTAGAGGCAGTTTAGCGATGACAATACTAGCTAAATATTTTTATATCTAAAACTAATTATGGTTTTTCGTACGCAATGCTATGTTTACCGGTCACCATTTTGTCCTTTTGATAACTTCTCTCGCTAAACACAGTGCAACGCCATCGTGTGACACTCTACAATAAAATTTTTTGCCGTACTTTGCCCACAGATTCTCTAAAAGCGAAAGTAATTCGTGGTTGGACAAGGATCTCTGAATATTTACTCTCTTAAAGCCTTGAGTGCGTCGTTATGTTGCCGACTAAACCCAATTACTTGTGGTTCATAAGCCACATTTACGTGATCGAGGTAGCAGGAAAACTTGTATAGCAGATCTACGCTTGCATTTTATGTGACGGCTGGGCAGTGTATGAACGCTTCAAAGGAGTGGTTTTCGTAAATGAACTTATACCGCGGCATATAGAAAGACATTTATTATCTGCATTTACAAATATTCAAAATGCGACACCAGTGTGTTGTGCGCACATAACCGTGCGTATATAGGCCTTTGAAAGTGAAATTAGGAACGATTCACCTTTATGTATAAACTGCGCTGTAGAGTGCTTTATCTGTCCAGTGTTTGAAACTGCGTTGAATTACATTGTGTATTAATTTTGAGCATGATTGTTCAGCTATGTCTCCATCATAAAAGTAAGCATTCTGAGCAATTTTTACTTACAGGATACATATTACTGATTTCCAACAGACCCCGACACATACAGGAAGAAAGGAAGAAAGTGCTTGTAAACTAAGGCACACACTGCCGCTAGGAGATAGGCCAAGAACCTGGTAGTTCTGACGAAATACTGTTAATTTGTTAGCTCGTGGTTTTTAAACTATTGAAAAAGGGCAAAAATTAAAAGAAAAATACCTGATTAGAAATAACGAATACAGAAAATGAAGCAGATTGTTTCACCAACAACAATAAGTAAATGAATGAATAAAGCAATTTGAAAAAAGGCAATTTAAGATTACTAATAGGATCTAAAAAAGAAGATCGAAGCCATCAGGCGAGATTAGGACCCACTTTTCGAAGTCTCAAAGGCGAACAAGGTCTGCTCTCGCCTAAAACCTTCTCAAAACCTCACCCGCTTTGCGGGTGTTGCTTCAGAAGCTTAAATTGAAAGAAAACACGATGTCAGTAACCAAGCACTTCCCACTAGACGAGAGGTAAGCGCTTATACTGCTTCTTACCGAACAAATGACATGGAAAACTCGGAATTTAGGAGCATCAAAGATGCATTCAACGAAGACGGTGATGAGACAACGATGAAGATACAGAAACCACTCTGCTTTATCACAACGATCAAGAGTTATAAAAGAAACCAGCCTATATAGGTATTTGAACAAGCAGAAAAACTTTTTCCATCTTCAAACAAGAGATGGCTGCAAGAAAAGCAAGTGGGGCAGCTGCACCGTCAGAAACTCAACTTCTAAAGCAGCTCTTAGAGAAACGGCTTTAAGCTCACTGCAAAGGCATATTTATGCAAGAATAAAACGAGCGTCTCAAGAGGCAATTGAGCGAACAACATAAAAAATAAACTTAATTTACTCAGAGATTGTTGCTGAACAAAAAAAACATGAAGAATTGACTTTATTTGGAGTTGGATGGTTCAAGAAAAGCTGTGACGGTATAAAATCTTACACTGGACTGCACATTCAAAATAATATTTGTTACCTCATCCACCTTCTTGGTTCTGGAAAAAATGGTTAGAACATTGTACGCAAGCGAACGAGAAGTGAACTGCTAAATTTTGATGATCGTGATCGGCAGCCGAAGATTAGTGTATAAAATCAACTTTCCCGTTGGTTGGTTAAACTTATGGTCGACTTATTTTATCGACACCTTGGATATTTGTTAGATGCTTGTGTAAGCACAGTGCGAAGATTTTGTTCTACAATGCTTCACTTCATGTATCTGCAGCTTACTAAAATAGCAACATGGCTTTTCATACAAGGTATTGATGCTTCCAAGACACCTGCACTCAAGGAGAAATATTCGCTTACACGCGTCATTTTGGACGCCACAAAGATCAGGTGTGATGCGCCAACGTCTTTTGTGAGACAGCCCCCTAGGCTTACTGCTCACACAAGTCGGCCCATAACTTCAAAGCTCGTGTAGGCATCTCACCACATGATTAACTCACTTTTGCTTCAGCCCTATTCTCTGGGTGCACATTTCAGAAGGTGCATAGTGAGGAGTAGGTTTTACAACCTGGACTTTGATATATGTAATTTGTTCATGCCTCACAAGTTATTTAATATAAAATACCTGTTGTAGAACAAGGAAGTTATGCCAAATGTTCCACTAATCATAATGCAAGTGGAATTCACTCCTGAACTAGCAGAGGAAACCCAGGAAATTGCAGTATTGAGAATACACGTAGAGAGAAAAGAAAATTTAGGGTATCTTATTTTGACCGGCCGATTCCCATCTCTTTAGTAGCCTTAGATGATAATGTGTTGGTTGTGAGTGCCTTCTAGACCAATTGCCAGCGACCGCTTCTGAGCGAGGATCAAAGCTGATGTGTTCGTAGTGTTGCTGATATACCTTTTTAAAAATGATAGTATTGCTTGGGGTACGTCCACGTAAAATTTATATCTCTCTGTCTTCCTGCCTGTCTTTATGTTTGTCGATTTGTCTGCCATACGATACCCCAAACGGCCAGCCGTGTTCATCACCGATATTGCTCAAGTTTCAGCGCTCATATTTCTGCGATTGTAAACGAAAACGCACTTATTGTGTGTATCTGAGGCACCATAACAACATGTCACTATTTTATATGTGTGTATGTATACTAGAGAAGACATATAGGTCATTCTTAGGACCGTAGCGTTTATCACGCTGCGCTGAGAATGCAACTCCATGTTCAAAAAAGCAAGTATTTCCAACGCTTT